TAGCGCGCTCTCCCCTGCCACTGCCACTGGCCCTGCGTCAGCATTCTGGCGGGCGTTCTGCGGAACGGCGGCTGTCCCTGTGGTTTTGCTGTTGTCTTCTCAACGCTCCTCCTCCTTGTCCTCTGGCTGCAATGGAAAAACGCGAAGAGCAAAGGAAACGGAAATTTTTTATGGCTTTTCAATAAATTTGCAACAAATTATGGTCGCTTCTGATGTTACAATGTACGAGAATATGTAAATATGTACGAGAATATGTAAATATGTATGTATGAAGCTGTATCCAACCGTTGGTTGTGTGTGTGTGTGTGTGTGTGTGTGTGCAAGTGTGTGCGGGTGATGGATGAAGTGTTTGTTGAGACTGTTGATGGGGATTGGGGTTGTCCAAATAAACCTAGTTTGCCTGCCACATCCGTTTTGGCCATGGCTCTGATGCGGCACAGCCACTGGCTCTCTCTCTCTCTCTCTCTCTCTTCCTCTGCACAAAGTCCGTTTCAGTACTTTAGCAAGGCTTTGCCGACATTAATAGAAAGGGAATACGGCCAACCCAGCCATAAAATGCTGCCAGAACGAACTCTTTAAAGTTGAACAAAAATTGAGTGCTGGTGCCAGAATCATTTGGGAAGTAAACCCGATATTGAATGGAACTTGCTTTAGCTTAAAGACCGACGAATTCCTTTAAGCTTTCCCTCGATTCTCGTTTCTCAAACTTGTAACCCAATTCCAAAATTCATTTCATTTTTTCTCTCTGCTCTTCCCAGCACTTTGACTGACTTCTAACCCCATTTCAGGGCTCGTTTCTCATCTGGATATATTCTCACGTCTCACCTTTTGGCCCCTCTCTGGGCCTACCTCTTTGGGCCACATTACTTACTTACATACTTGCTGGCTTTATCCTTTCCTATATTGGCTGGCTGGCTGGCTGGCTGGCTGGCTGGCTGGCCCCTCCCTTAACATTCCACTTCAAATCCCTTTCACGCCCACGAAGCGCTAAAGCTGCGTCTGCCTGTGCCTCTGCCACAGCCTACATTGCCTTCAGTTTGTTGATGTTCTCCGCAAGACTTTTTAAACTTGTCATACATTTTGATAAAGAATTTGCCATGTTCCCTTGAGGGCCTCAGATGCTGTCAGCACGGCCTACCCAAGAGCACCGACACCGCCACCCTCACGTCTCACCTGCAACCCCTTTTTGAAATACCCTTTTGCAGCGGCTCTTATGGCTTTGAGACACAGTTCTTCATGGCATAACATCAGAAGAGTTCCATGCCAGTGGCGAAATTTGTGCAACAAAATCATACCCATATAGGGTAGGGTTAGGGTATCCATCCATATATGTATACCCTAACCCCCGACACTCGCTGGAGGATGCTTTCCTTTCTTGTTTCCCCTACTTATTATTTTTCTCTCACCTGCTGCTTTTCGCCACCGCACTGCCGCCCTTTGGCTTTGCTCCGGGGGCGTGCAAAATGTTCCCCCATTCAATGAGTTTTTTCTCGCTTTCCCTGGTGCCCAATACCAACCCCAGAACCAAAAGTGATAGAGGGAAGCTGGTTGCAGGCTTGGGGTGGAACACCGCTATCTACCCCTGGCTACCCCTGACTCCCGCTGACTGCCCCTGGCTGGTCTTTAACCAAATTCGCATTTAAGTGAATTCCCGTGCTCGGCCCGTGGGCCAAATGCTTCTTCCTCCACTTGACTTTGTCTTCTGTAGTTTCGTTTCATTTTCATTTTCGTTTCGTTTTTGCTTCGCTAATGGCTGAAAGTTGGAAAATGGCCTGGGATATGGAAATGGAAAACGCAGCTTCCTCCTCCTCAACAACTGCAACTGCAGCAGCAGCTGAAATGACGACGAAGATGGGGGCAAAGTTTGAGCTTTTCCTTTGGCTTCCAGCGTCGTGTTTGAATTTGCTTAAGTTGGCCTTTGTCTTTGGGTCCTGTGTGTGTTTCATTAAGCATTTCTTTGGCGGCGCTATTAAGGAAAACCATCGCCCCCACTCAACCGATGTCACACACACACTGAGAGAGAGAGAGAGACATGCTCTCAAGGACACTGCGCAAACCAGAGCAAATTCGCAGCATTAAGTGACCAAAACGGATCGCTGGTCTGCATGGATTTACATAAGCATTGAAATCTTGCTTGAGGTAGAGGCGCTACCAACTCCTTTCTGCATGTGAGTGTCAGATCTGTTGGCCAAATAATCGCCTGAATGCTCCAATCTTTGGTTCTTCTTATTTTAGAGATTTTTCTCAATTTCTGTAGCTGTATACCCCTAACAGAATTAGCAAATGAAGGCAAGGTTCTTTCGGTTATTCCAATGTCTAACAAATTCTAGAGGACAAAACTTGTCCCCCCCCCCCCCCCCCACTGGCATAACTTTGTCCATGTGAAAGCCATTAAAAACTCAAATCAAATCAAAGCTCAACCAGCAACAAAAACTAACAGAAATATTCAGAAATTAGAAATCCAAATTCCAATGGAAAGAGATGAAAAATGTCTGAACGCAAATGGAAAATGGATATGGGATATGGGTATGGGTATGGGTATGGGTATGGATATGGATGGTGCGGTATGTGGTGGCTAGACCTGCAATGTTATGAATATGAAATCGTTTTAACGATGCGACGCGACGCGCAAAATATACACCAGATAAATCTATATCTAAATAAACCAAAAGATGTTTGAGTTTTTGAGCTTTAATTTTTTGTTTTAGTTATTTGTTGGCCACGTATTTACGTCACAACAGTTTTATGACTCTTTAAATATTAATAAAAACGCACATCAACAAAAAATTAATAATCATCAGACCGATAGACGGTCTATATATCTTTGTATATGGATGGATCGACTCGAAAAAGTAGCCGCCAAAAAGCAGGGGGCGAATTCTTCAATCGAATATTTTTTGAGACCTACCTCATGGATCGGTTACGGGCGCGCGAGACACGGCGGTGCGGGGGCCACGAATCAGTTTTTTGATTAAAAAGAACCATGAAAAGCGGGAGCAACTTTATTTTTGTATACCCTTTTTGGGGGAGGCGCGACGCAAGTTGAATCACCAGAAAAAAATGTGGAAAAAAAATGCAAAAGAAATAAAAAATAAAACAAAATTTAATAATTTAGAAGTTGGCTTGTGGTAGCCTGCCGCGAAGTCGGAGTTTCGCGTCTGCGGATGTGCGTTACGGATTAACGGACTAATTAGAAGACGAATACGGAAACGACGGCACGGCTAAGCAGGCACTGGGGCTCAATGAGCGGCTCAACGGTTGAATCTGATGCTCCTACTACAACTACTACTACTGCTCCTACTACTGCAGCTAATGCTGCTGCTGCTGCTGCTGCTGCTCCAACTGCTGCTGCTGCTGCTGCTGCGATGCCTTGCGTGTCGCGTGTCGCGGCTCTGTACATCGCGGCGTATACGCAACGACTATTGGCCCCACTGACGCAGCGGAGGCGCTGGAGACCGTCTGTGCGAGACCCAGACGCAGACGATGCCCGCGTCTCTGCAGGCGACAATCGGGCAGAGAGCCCGAAAACGAAACGGATTCCGAATCGGGTATTCCGAATCGGAACGAATGCAGCCGCAGTCGCTGTTCGCGACACAGCAGCAGCAGCAGCAGAAGTAGAAAAGCAACAGCAGCCGCAGCAGCTGCGGCTGCGGCTTTCAACCTGAGCTTTTTCGACAGGCACGTTCATGCTCCAACGTTATCTATGACGCTTTCGACATCGAACAAAAAGCTCAACGCACCCGCAGCACAAAGCACACCAGCAGAAAGCCGAGCAGAGTAGAGCGAAGAGAGCAGCGCATCGCAACAGAGAGCGAGCAGCGCAGTCACGACTATGAAGCAACTATATAGTTGATTCATGGGTGAAGTCTTTACCGCAGTGGAGCCTAGCTCTATTCCTTTCTAGCGCTTGTGTCTCTGCTCGTGGTGAATAAGTTATCTGCTGGGGCCTTGGGTGTGGTGAATCCTCACGGGACTTCCACCAAAGACAGCTATGAGAGCGAATATCCAGAATGATATTTATTACCTCAGCAATAATGGAGTTAACGTCAAAGTCTAAAGCATTAATTGATGCTTTAATTCCAAACTATAATGGTGGTTGATTGGTTTTTGGACCAATGCACCAAAGTTCGCTTAGTCGCGAGGTTGCTCCTGGAGGGGGAATTGTCAGTGGGTCAGTGGTCAGATCGGAGTGTACGGCCTGGGATGAGGGGCTCATCGACGCTGTAAGCCTGCTGACCAGTCTCAACGCTGAACATCAGCTCCTGCAGCAGTTCGTTGTGCAGAGGTTCCTCAACTTTGTGGACGCTAGTCCGAAGATCCTTGTGCTCAACCTCAACGCCGAGTGTAGACTGCTGATTGTCAGTGCTGCGCACATGCAGCTTGGAGCGGAGGCGTAGCGTGTCCTTTGAGTGTGTCAGGATTCCCATGTTCACGCCCAACTCGATGCCAAACTGAACAGCGGCCTGCAGGGTGTCAAAGCAACTGATGTGCTGCATCATTGCCTCATTCAGCTGAGCCAACGATTCGACACCAGCGCACACTTGATCCAAAGTGGCGCCTGCAAGTGGAAGGATGAGTAAGTGCCCCAGTTGAATCCCCTTTGGAACCCCTTTTGTGTACTTACTCTGACGTGGCTTGCCGTGCAACATGTCCACAATGTGTGGCAGCAGCGATGCATAGGGATTCTGATCGGGGTTCTCCATTCTAATAGATAATCCGAATTTTATTTTCTACTTGCAGCAATTTAAATAATAATTTCAATCTCTGTTGTGTTGTGTTGTGTTTGTTTGAGTGTCTCTCTAGTGTTTTTGTGTTTGACTTTTGACGAGCTGTAAATGCCCAATGCCGGCTGCTGGGTTGAGCATTTTCCAACAACATTTGTAAACTCCCAAAAACCTGAAACAAATATTAGATACAAAAATTCGTTAATATTTGTAATTCTTTGTAAAATTCTTTGTAAAACTTTACCAAAAAGTGCGAAATGCCTTCTCAAAGTGTTATCAACTCGTGCCCAGCGGCTTTTCCCAAAATACTGAGCTTCCTGCTGGCCCAGCCCCATCAGTGTGAGTGTTTGAAGGTGCCAAAAAACCAGTCTGGGAGTGAACTTTGTCCTCCACTCGNTGATTGTCAGTGCTGCGCACATGCAGCTTGGAGCGGAGGCGTAGCGTGTCCTTTGAGTGTGTCAGGATTCCCATGTTCACGCCCAACTCGATGCCAAACTGAACAGCGGCCTGCAGGGTGTCAAAGCAACTGATGTGCTGCATCATTGCCTCATTCAGCTGAGCCAACGATTCGACACCAGCGCACACTTGATCCAAAGTGGCGCCTGCAAGTGGAAGGATGAGTAAGTGCCCCAGTTGAATCCCCTTTGGAACCCCTTTTGTGTACTTACTCTGACGTGGCTTGCCGTGCAACATGTCCACAATGTGTGGCAGCAGCGATGCATAGGGATTCTGATCGGGGTTCTCCATTCTAATAGATAATCCGAATTTTATTTTCTACTTGCAGCAATTTAAATAATAATTTCAATCTCTGTTGTGTTGTGTTGTGTTTGTTTGAGTGTCTCTCTAGTGTTTTTGTGTTTGACTTTTGACGAGCTGTAAATGCCCAATGCCGGCTGCTGGGTTGAGCATTTTCCAACAACATTTGTTAACTCCCAATAAGCCTGGGGAGTTTCATTCAATTTGAAGGTCAGCAGCCGAAGCAACAATCGCCTAGCCCCGCCCACTCATCGCTCCCTGCCATCCGCTAACATTGAAAGAGTGCCCCAAAATGCCGGTCCGTTCTGCAGAAGTTGAAGTTCGTCGGCTGCCCGATGGACTCCGGAGAGCGGTGAAAAGTGAAAAGTGAAAAGTGGGCCAACGCCGCAGACAACCGCAACAGAATGCAGAGAATATTCGATGTTCCATTTCGGCGACGAAAACTAAAAGCCCAAAAGCTTTCCAAGTTTCAGTTTCCGTTAGCACCGAAGCTTGCTTTGCTTGCTACCGAAAATTTAAAATTATTTTCAGAAAGTAGACCACAAACATCCGTCGCGACCGCTGGGCCAGACCTGATGATAAGAAGCCGCAGAACAATGAGTTTTCTAATCAGCAGGCGCGTTGAAACAACCAACCAACTACATGGTCGACATCTGCAATGTCAACGGATGCCGCATCGCGGGACACTACAAAGCGAATGATTACACTTATAAAGATTCTAGATACATTTTGCAGGCATTTTAAATTCTCTGAGCCAAGTTTGTGGGTCTGATAAATTATGCATTGATTAGTTCAACATTTAATTGTATGTTGGATGAATTTGCCAATTTTTTGTTGCAGAAATGGAAAACAAACCAAGAAAACCAGACTTTCAGAACTCTGTTGATAGAAAAAACGAATTTCAAAGCTCAAGAGCCAAAAAGGAGCGTCAAACTTTTGGTAAGAAATATTTGATACATAGAGTTTCCGAGATGGGATTATTATTTTACTTATTTTGCCTGCAGGAACATTCCCAAAAGAGTCAATAAAGCACAGCATGGAAAGCCCTAAACCGAAAGCTCAAAAGCCTTTTCCATGGCAACAGGAAAACGAGGAAACGAGGAAACGAGGCAACCGTTTCCCCTTCGGCACAGATCGAATAACAGCAAAATTGGTAAAGCAGGCAATCAAAAAACAGACACGAATGTCTGTCAGTACATAATAAATCTAACAAAATATAGAGGCAGCCAATATATACCAATATAGACCGACTCCAGCCAACGATATTCAACCATGTCCAGATCGTCGGGTAGGGGTAAATCATCGGAAACGCTGGTGCAATGGAGCACCAGTGAGCAGATTCATGGTCCAGCTGCTACCAGCGACATAAACAGCACCGACACTGCCGGCACCAGTGTCAGTCAAGCGCAGGTTCCGGAGCGCAAGAGCATGATTGGCGGGAGCAGCGTAATAATGCCGAGGGACACAGCGACCTCCAGGGCACGAAAGCAGCGACTCAATTTCCAGCGAACGGGCTCGATATCGGGCAGGTCGCGCAGCTCCAGCACCATCAAGATAACGACAGGCGCTTCGCTGATCCCGAATCTGAATCTGGTGATCGACCGGGTTCGGGCCAACGAGGATGATTCTTACGTCTACATGGACTACATGCTGCCATACGACAGCGAGTACTTCACGCCGTACAGCCTGCGGGAGGTGGACTACGATAATATGAATCCCTACCATCCATTCTACACGGTGACACGGCACGGCGTCACATTCTGGCACCGCTCGGAGAACTTCTTCACGACCCTCGACCAGTGGCAGAAGGAATTCCGCCAGTTCCTCAGCATCATCAAGATCAAGACCTTCGCCCTCTTTCGGCTCTGGAAGGGCTTCAAAGTGTGGGAAAAGACAATCAAATGGCGCAAGCTGAACGAAGCCCGAAACTATTTGCACAGCAATCTGTTTATTGTGATACCGCATCTGGCCAAGGCCATACTGCGCATGCGCACGGAACTTGTTGAAATGGAGAGTCTGAATTTCGTGGACATCAGCAACATTGAGAACTGGCATCCATTCTACTTTCTCGAGACCCACATGCGCATCTATGAGCAGCTGCACAAGATCTTTAACAGATTTCGTAAAGAATTTGGCGTTTCGATATGTGAGTGCCCAAGCCTTAGCCTTAGCCTTAGCCTTAGCCTTTACCCATTTAAATCCTTTGTACAGTTCATGCCTGCACGCATGCCATACGGGCGCGTGGCTTCTTTCCGGACGATGAGGTCAACTACTATCCATCAATGAAGAAGATGCGCGAAGCGCACAGCTTCACGGATCGGGCACGCAAGCGAGCCTTCTGCAAGACCCTAACAAAGTATGACAGACTGACTCTTTACTTATCGACTCACTATTCATGCTTCATTCTCTTCCCTCAGCTTTCTCACATTCACTGACATGATGGTCTTTCAAATGCTGTACCGCGTCACCACCAAAAGCTTCGCGGATCTGGCCTATGCGCTCGCACTGCACGATGCCGCTGGTCCAACGGACGAGGACATTGAGAATCACATTGAAACGGATATGGCGGTGGAGCGGCAGCGGGCGGAGGACATGCCGCAGCATCCCTTTTTCCTCGCAATGCTGAAACTGTTGCCCGATCGCATCGACATCGAGCCATCGGAGGATATTATCAAAATCATTTTTCAGCGCATCACCGAACTGATACTAGAGACAGTGCTAGAAATTCGACCATTTACAACAGACGACTACTTCTGGCAGTACACAAAGTGAGTAAGCAGTGAGTTGCCCCTCTCTTCTCTGATCTGACCCTGAGCATCTCTTCAGGCCATCGATCATGGGCCGTCAGGAGGAGTTGCTGTATGATGGCGTGCCCGAACTGCACTGGCTGCTGCACGCCGACAACGTTTTTCAGTTTAATCGGTAAGGTAAATCGATCTTCGATGCCAGATCTCATCTGATATTCAAACCGCAGGCAAAATATCTTCTATCTGCTCGGTAAAGCCTTCGATCGTGCTACCACCTATACGGAACTGTTTCATGAAATTCGCGAGAACTTCTATATTGACACCCACACAGATCCTGAAACGTTGAGAAGCGAAAAGGGTGAGTGGCCTCGTAGCCCCAACAAAGACAAAACTAAACAGCCTAAATGTCCTTGCAGATCTGATAAAGCTGCGCGCATACTGCGATCGTTATTGCAACAATGTGCGTGCCCTGGATGGGATCTTGGAGTTTGTCAACCTGGGACTGCTGAAGCTGACGCAGACGAACTTTAAGGAGGCCGTGACGCCGGTGTGCCAGCGTCTGCAGAACGTGCTGGCCCAGTATCTGCCCAAGCTGGCCGAGGTGGAGACAACGCAGCTGTACGAGAATGCGCAGGATTTCTTTGGCCGCATCTGCTACGATCCGCTGGAGACGCTTGACATTGTGCAGCACATACGATTCCTGGACACATGCAACACGGAGCTCGATTTGATATTCCAGGATGTCGACTATGTGCACGATCTGCTGCTGATTATCAAGGACTTTGACATACCGATCGACGACGAACGCAAGGAGGACTACATGGACACCGAGGACTATGTGAATCGCACCAAGGAAACGCTGCTCGAGATCCAGGAGAAGCGGCAAGAGTTCATCAATCGCCTCGACGAGGCCATGATGGCTGACATCTTTACACTCAAAGAGGAGGTACACGAGATCGCTGTGGTGGCGCTCGAACCGTGGCTCTTGGATGTAAGTATCGCAGGATAATCCTTAGCAGAGACTATAGCCATGCCATTCTCCGTCGGTAGGCCAAATCCGAACGGATTTCGGTGACCAACAAGCTGGACACATTGATGGAACAACTGAATGAATGCAAGGCGCGTGCCGAGGAGTTTCTCGGCTACCAGAAGGAGTTCCGCATCGATTTAACCATGTACGAGGAGATGGATGAGGCCTTCTATGACGTACGCATGCGCCAGAATCTCTTCAAGACAATGATGGACTGGGAGCAGGCACTCATCGACTGGTATGCCGCCGATTTCAACACCCTAATCGTCGCCGATATGCTCGAGCTCAACTCAAAGACAATCAAGAACTGTTTGCAGTTCCAAAAGTATCTGCCAGAGAATAACATTGTGCCGGTGCTGCAGAAATCGGCGGAGGCATTCAAGGAGAAGCTACCAGTAATTGGTTATCTTCGCAATCCCAATCTCCGGGCTGTGAGTGGCGCATAAATCACAATCAGAATCTAGAACTAATCCCATATACAAATCTCGTCTCACTCACAGCGTCACTGGACACAGATCGAGGAGCTGTTGCGCCACAAATTCTTCCAGGAGAAGGGCATTGTGCTGGCCAGCTACGAGAATGTGCACGCCTTCGATAATGAGGCCATTGGGGAGAGTCTCATGCAGATCTCCTCTCAGGCCACCGGCGAAATGCAGCTCGAGAATATGCTAAAGGCCATCGAAACGCTATGGAAGGAGACCGAACTCTCCATTGTACCGCATCACGATGAGAAGGATGTCTTCATACTGGCCGGCACCGAGGAGCTGCAGGCGGTGCTTGATGATGCTAATGTGAATATCAATACGATAGCTGCCTCCAAGTTTGTGGGTCCCATCAAGGGCAAGGTGAATGTTTGGATCACGGATATGGATCAATTTGGCAAGACTTTCGGTGAGGCCGCAACTGCATTTGCTGCCGGCTCATCTAATGCTGTCTCTCTTTTGTAGAGTCCTGGATGGACTGCCAGGGTGCATGGATTTATTTGGAGGCCATATTCGCATCGGCGGACATTCAGCGCCAGCTGCCCAACGAGGCCAAAATGTTCTTTCAGGTGGACAAGTGCTTCAAGGATATTGTACGTCAGGCCAAGAAAGTGGCCCTCGCCCTGCCCACAATGTCCAGTGTGGAGGTGTACGATGCCCTTGTGGAGAATAATCGACTGCTCGATCTCATAACGCGCGGCCTGGAGGCCTATCTGGAGGTGAAGCGTGTTGTGTTTCCCAGGTAGGCAAAGGTTCCTCCACTGCCAACTGCCTACTGCTTACAGCCTGCTCTTCGCTCCCCGCAGATTCTA